TCCACCCTCGCTCACCGAAGTAGAAGTAGCCGCCTTCATCCTTGGGCTGGAAGAAGCGGCCGCGGGCCTGGGCGTGCACGTCCGCTCCCTTCTCCACCAGCAGCTCCACGTAGTGCTTGCAGCGGCGCTCGATGGCGATGTGCAGGGCTGTCTGGCCTGTGTGCCGCCGGCGCCCGTCAGCCCCCTCACGCCTCACCCCGCAACTTCCCCTGGGTCCCCAGCCTTCCCCGGGGTACCTGCTGCTCCAGTGCCCGAGCCCTGCTCTCCGCTGCAGCCCCCCAGGGTCCCCACTTTTGGTCCACAATCTCCCCAGCATCCTCCATGCTCCTCAGGGTCCCTGTTGCTCCGGTCCCCAAATATCCCCAGGGTACTGCTGCCCCAGTCCCCAAGACCCTCCTCCGCCCCTGCAGCTCCCCAGGGTCCTCGCTGGTCTGGTCCCTAAGCCCTTCCAGGGTCCTTTGCCCTCCCCAGGGTCCCCACTTTTGGTCCACAACCTCCCCAGCATCCTCCATGCTCCTCAGGGTCCCTGTTGCTCCAGTGCCCAAATATCCCCAGGGTCCCCCATGCCCGGGCAGGGCCGGCGGTGGCCCCACGCCCCCCTACCTCGGTAGTAGACGTCCCTGAAGGGCGAGTTGATGAACTCCCGCATGTTGCCTGTCTTCTCGGCGATGTCGAGGAGGAGGGGGATGGTGTCGTTCTTGCCCCCACTCAGGTTGAGCAGCGCCTTGGGCAGGCAGGTCTTCCCCGTGGAGGGCTCTGGGAGCGGAAGGTGCTGAGGGGGGGCGCTGGATCATGCCCCCCAGGCCATGGGGGTGCCCAGCCCCGCACCCCTGCACTCCCTGGTCAAATCCTCAGCTCTTCTGCACATCACAGCCCCACCTCCTGCCATGCCGGGGCTGTGCATCACCATCCCCACGGGGACACGGGGACCACCGGTGACATGGCACAGCCCCAGGGGGTCCCAGGGCAGGGCCAGCCCCAGGTCCTCACCTCGAAACTCCTCATCCGTCAGGCGCTTCTTGTGGGTGAGGAGGAAGGAGAGGAGCCCGTCCAGGCCGGCCGGGGACCCTCGGGAGACGATGTCGAAGAGGATGGGTCTGTTGAAGACCTTGAGGACGGGGGGCGGGTTGGGAGCCGGCCCCTTCACGCCTGGCGCCTGCTTCCTGCAGAACAAGCACCGGCACTGGGGACTGGAGCTGCTGCCTCAGTTTCCCCACCCATGCAATGAGTTTGAGGGTGCTCAGCCACCAGCGAAGGGCCCGGGGGTACCCCCCAGCCACAGTCACCCACGGGGATGGGACAGACCTCCCCACCCACAGCAGCCCAGTGCTCCCAGCATCCCACCTCCCAGTATGGCCCATGGGGGCTGGGGGGAGCCCTGCCAGCTTC